TAATTAGTTATTAGGTGTTGGACTATTCTAACCCTAACACCATTATAATTTGAATTGAGGGAACGTAATACAAAATCATAAGGGATATCAATTTTTTTTTTTTTTACAAAAGAGAATCGTATATTGATTCAGAAAGAGGTAGTTACATTATGGAATTCAGCCAGGTCTGGAAATAAAAAGAACGACTCATAGCCGGGGACAAAGAGAGGGCCTTTCTAGCCACCAAATGGGCTACCCTATTGCTACGCCGACCTACAAATCGCACACTAAATCTCGAATGCAAGGCAAAATACTGTACTAGTTCTTCAAGAATAGCCCCTATCCGGTTATCACTAATCAGTGCCTGATTGTTCTTATTAATGACTGCCTAGGCATCACCCTCAAATCTAACTTCCGTGAAGCCACTCGCCAGACACCAACATACAACTTCTCGCAGGGCCAACGATTCAACCACCATAGGGTCATCAGTGCAAGGAAACTGAACCCCAAAAGCCACCAGAACCTCACGGTCTGGAGTTCGCAACACCATCCCCCCTGCCAAGTGAGATCACTTCTGGTAGCCTCATCCCACATGTATACCCTCACGTCCGTTCAACCAGGACTCAAGGAATGAGGCAACGGAGTAACCGTTTGAGGCACCTGATCCATTGGCAAACTTACCCATTCCTGAAACTGCTGATTCAACTATCTCATCAAAGCCGGGATACCAAACTATTTGCCCTCAAAGACAACCCAATTATGAGATCGCCAGATCCTCCAAAGTGCAGCGACCACAACCATAAACATCGTAGGTTGATGTAAAAGCGCCATCCACTTCTTCAGGAACAACGGGAAGGTATGACGAGTAAACCCTTGCCCAAGATGCTCGAGGCCCAAATGGTCCCAAATAGCACGAGCTACAGGGAAGTAGAGAAACAGGTGTTCCATAGTCTCAGCCTCGGCCCAACAAACCGGACATCTGGGGTGAACCAAGACATCCTTCTCTATGAGGGCTTCCGTGGTTGGCAGGATCTGGTTGAATATTTGCCAAACAAACACTTTCAACTTTGGTCGGATATTTGCCTCCCATACCCAAATCCAGCTGGCCCTATCCATCCAACTCACCTCAGCCCACCTCCGATTTGTTTGCTTATCCAAACGGACTACAAGATGGTAGGTTGATTTCACAGTAAAAACCCCATCAGCCGAGTCATGCCAGAGTAGTTTATCTGCCCCGGGAGAGGGATAGCTTTAATAGCTTGACAAGTTAGCGGGTCAAACCATTGGCTAAGCTTGCCATCACACCACCAGCATTCCCCATAACAGATAACTTCCAAAACTCAAGGGTCACCTCCCTCAGGTAACACCTGAGGGTTAAAGACAGGGAGAGAGAGATGTAGACGCGTAATCCAGCTTGGCTCGAGTAAAGAAGTCGCCTACCCATTAACAATCTGCCAACGTAACCCCATGCGCAATAATTCCCTTCCAAAAAGGATACTTTGCCATCCCCAAGAAGGGCGAGAGTGAGCCGTAGCAGTGAGGAATGTTCCATTGGGAAAGTACTTCCCTTTATAGACTTGGGCCAAGAGTTATTGGGTCTCATTAAGGATACGCCAACAAATTTTAGCCAAGAGAGCCTGATTAAAATGCTCAAAAACGACGAAATCCCATCCCCCGGCACATATTACGCCAGGACATCCAACGAATACGAGAGTGTAACACCCTACCCTATACGTTTTGCCTAATCATATTGTTCATACAATTGCAGCGGAATTAATCTCGGGTGTTACATTAATTATCAAAATTTACCTAAATAAAATTTCGACATGAATTACTCGCGTAATGGGCTAACAGTTCTTCCATATGATCCTGCAAAATAATTCATCTGAATCCATGCATTCATAGACAAACACATATACTCACAACCATATGCATTGGCTTTTCATAGCCATAGTCACAGTTTCATACTACACAACTGCATACTATACTGATACATGCTATAATTATCACTACTTACCTAATTACACAATATACACATATCATCAACTTTCCACACCTGTGGATATCTCACACTACATAAGAAGCTAGTATGCACATGAAAAATGTTCTCAAAACATTCTTTTACAAAAAGGTGTGGATCACTGGCTTGTTTGAAGACCATACCTCATCTTGCCTTCAACTCTTGCTCAGCTCCCACCTATACACCTATCTACTGCTGTTGCTGATGATCTACTTACACATAGCATAAGCAGAGAAGAAGAATAAAAGAGGGTCAGCTCATAGCTGAGTGAGATAATCATAGCATCGTGAGTTCATAACATAGCATACCACTACCATACATCTAGCAAACAAGCCAAAGCACTAGGATCAGATCTCAGCCCTCCGACATCCCAATAGGCAAAAGACTCAACCACCTTGACTTATGCATATGCATCTTATCATGTTTTTATCATAGGCGCCTGGCTACTCCCATGCTAATAACTCTCCCGGGAAACATACCCCACATCCCGTCGGATGTAGTCATACATACCCCAACATCCCGTCGGATGTGGTCATACATACCCCACACCACTATGGGTGTAGTCATACCCCGACACCGCTCTGGGTGTGGTCATATCTCATAAGAATTCTTCAGTCACCACCACATGAGAGGTGTGACTATCATACATATCATAATAGAATAATAGCATAGGGAGCCCTAATTACTATGTAGTTGACCGTGAGACCACAACACTCATATTTGGTATCCTTATACATGATTCATGTCTCATCTTGCTTAATCATAATTCGTTACTTGCACATGTACTTGACCAGGCCACAATTGGCTCAACATAGGTAAATCAGGAGTCGTATAATTGCACTTCCTCGGGATAAACCCTCGTGCAAGTCATCCTCCTTAAAAATCATAATATCACCTTGGGAAGTTTATTCCACCACTTACGGATCCAAATACAACCATAATATCACGCCATGTCAAAACCCCTTATCGAACAACCATGAAGTCATATCAACAGTTAAGCCACAAATCGCAACATGTATGCAATCATCCACATAAACAAAGTTCATATCGATTAGGGCAAGTCAATAATATCATACAACAGTCCAGGGTTCATCATATAGCACAAAAATCCATACACCCCTAATCATGCCATTCTAGTTCACCTAGATCAATTCTAAGCATCAATATAATTATCGTGATACGACAAACCCGGTATGCCGTGCTAATCTCTCACCAGTTCTGGTCGTTCAAACACCAGCTTAAGCTTCCCCGTACTAAAACATCAATTTCACGAACGAACCCCGAATTAAAATCCGAGACCGTCCTAATATCCCCTGCAGTATCCCCGTCAATATTAGTTCTAGGCTCCGGGTCAAATTCTCGATAAAAACACATCAAACCCTGGCCGGAGCTAAATTCAGCGATCCCGGCTCCGATCTAAATAATAGCCGAAATTCAGGGATTAGAACTAGGGGATTGATTACCTCGCGGCAGGAAGCTCGTATATGAAATTTGGGCACAATCCGGCTTCCGGATACTCCGAAACCCTAATTTGGCTTATCGGGAATTTAAGAAATTCCTGAACCAAAAACTCGTTTTAAAGCTCTAAATCGATAAATCACGATGTATGGATGAATTAGGCATTACTTACGGGATTTTTGGATCACTAGAGCTTAGGATTTGAGCTTATCTGATCGATCGATAATCCGATTTTCGTCGAAATAGTGTCGAAATGCTCGATTTTAAATCGTGAAATTTTCTAGCGATTGAAATATGGGTTTTGCCGGAACGGGATGTTACAGAGAGTGGTCGTCTTTAACACCCCACCAGAATCTGGCCACATGCTTATCGAACAACCTACAAAGAGACAGAGGTAACTTGAAACAGGACATTACATGCAATGGCATCGCTAGAGCTATATATTTAATCAATGTCTCCTTAGCGGCCCATGATAAAGTCCTCCATTTCCACCCTTGAAGTCTTTCCAGAAGCTTCTCCTCAAGGTAACGGAAAGTAGCCATCTTAGACCGGGCTATTAGCGTAGGTAAGCCTAGATATTTATCATGAACCCCCACAGCCCCCACTCCCATAATTTGGGCCAGGAAAACCTGATCTTGCACTGCAATATTATTACTGAAGCATATTGCAGATTTAGCCAAGTTCACCCTCTAACCACTGAGGTCGTCATATTCATTCAAATGTATCATATTGGTGGTGATTTACCTTTAAAATATACTTTTATAATTAATTTCATGAAAAGAATACCCACTTAGTGAACTAAAAGCGTAAAACGTTTTGGTGAACTAGAAACGTAAAAACGTAAGCTTTTAAGCTTTAAAGCACAATTTAGTCTGATTTTATACACTGAAGTTTTTATATGAAACCGAAAGCGTTTTGCTGACCTAGAAGTGTAAAACCGTAATTTTTTAAGTTTTAAAGCGCGATTTTGACTACATTGGATCTCGTTTGTCGGACCTTGTCCGATTGAATCTCATCCAGCGAAAATTGGACCACTTGGTCTTGTGCAATGCGGTTCATCGTTTCAATCTGCATCAAAATATGCAAGTCAACATTATTATTACTCCCGTCCCAGAGTGCCCTTATGTCTCGTTCATGTCCCAGCAACTCCGGACCCAGCCAAGGACCACGTATAATTGAAGATGAGTTCAGGACAGATCCAGTAGAAAGAGACGGGATAGGGATGGAGCAATCAAAAGGGGGAGTACCTGGGTAATCACGGTGCTCGGAGGAGACTACTCTGCTATTCGGCGCCGCAATCAACTCTTTCCAAAAGGTGAGAGTATAGGATTGGGGATGGTTAGTTAAATAGCCGCATGAGCTCTGCACTCCTCCAAACACATTCCGGTTAACCCATAACAGGACTCTTCCATTTTGTGTAGGGGTGGGATTCGGAGTCTTTGCTGTCATCCGTTGGCGGGTATGGAGAGAGAACAAACCCCCCAATCCTCACCGCGTAATCCACGATCAGGATATTCCCGAGATCCTTGGCTCTGCCACGTTGTCAAGCTCGAACTTGTCGAAAAGAGGAGCCGTTTCCGGCGGCCACCACCCAAAAATCGACGTACAATTGTGCGCCCATAGGAGCCACCTCCTTCGGTGAATCAAATTCAGCGGTCGGAATAGAAACAAGACCTTCAATTAACCCACTTCGGACGTCTTGCGAAAGATCCTTGCTTAAAAGGCCATTTTGTGCCACAGGGATCGTGCTTTTTTCCAGATCATCCTGTTCAATTTCAATCGACGAAGTGAGCCGGAATCGCCAGCCTTCCTTTCGCGATGTGCGCAAACTTTTGGATTTAATTAAACCCGGTGCGACTTCACTAGTGAGGAGTAATGAAAGCTTCCTCTTTCCGATCCTGCTTGCGGATCGGTTCATCGTCCAGTCATTCCCAGACGAGGCGTGGTCATTTTCCCATCGCCGTCGGCACACCAAATCCTGTGAATTCTCTCGGCCATCCTCTCTAGATATTTCACAACCACTCCAATCTTCGTATTGTTCCAATTGCCTATGCATCTCCGACACCCTCTGGTTGGCCAGGCTAGCCTCTAGCACGGCTTTAGCCATAGCAAGGAGGAATCGCCCTAGCAGAGAGCAGAGATAGAGGAGAGAGGAGAGAGCTCCTCTCATATTTTATTAAGGGAATATCAATCTTTATTGATCGTAATATTATAATTAACTACTTTTCTATATTAGCATGGACCCATAAGTTTTAGAAAGTAATCACCATTGTCGTATGAAAAGTTAGTAGATCTATAATATGACACGTCAAAATCAAACTAACAAAAAATTCCATATATGCATTATTTTCCTTAAGATGTTGGTGTTGACGGATTGTTTAAAATATAGTTTGGACAAATGAAGGAAATTGCATAAGAATAAAAGTATAATACATAAAATAAGTTTTGAATGATATGGTCACTCGATTCAGTTCAGGTTATGAAGTCTAATCCTCACAAAGGTTTTTTAAACATTATGTGATTTAATTACCTCTAATTAGTCAATAGATTAATCTATACAGTTAGAGTGAAAATAAAAAGGCACAAATACGATATGAATGATTTATTTCCGTCTAATTAGAAACAGACATGAAAAATCTAGTAAGAGAATTATGTGATCCCCTCCCCTCGACACGAGTAATTTCGATCGTTGAAAAATTCACGAGAACCACCCTTCTCTACGTTTCCCACAACCCCACCGACCTTTAAAAGTGTGGCGATTGTGAAGTAAACTAATCTAGAGCATAGTCATTTGGTTTCAAAATGAATATTTAAATGTTAACAAACACATTGTTTTGTCGTTATCCTGTTTCCTATTAAATATTTATATACGTTTTATAATTTAAATACTTCATGCATATTGCATATTTATATATAAAGTAAACAAACATATTGTTTGGACGTTATCTTGTTTCCTTTTGAAAATAACCAAAATCTCATAGATAGTTCTAGTCCTACTACCCTTAGTTCTAGTCCTACTACCCTTTTACTGAGCTTGATTCGTTGTTGTTTATTTTTGCTACATATGCTTAAATTGCCACCAACAACAAACAAATTGCCTAATTTTTATAAAAGGAAGCAGCCTCCACACGCATCCATACAAAATGTTTTGAAAAAAAGAAGCATAGAACAAATTGAGAATATACACTCCATAGACGCACTCTTAGGTAAAAGTAATGGAGTAGGACAGTAGGGGTTGGAGGCTTAGAGAAAGAGAGTACTGAAGTTTTATTAGGCAACAGTAACCTGGCTTAAGGTTTATATATATTTCCATACAAAATGTTTTTTAAAAAAAGAAGCATAGAACAAAATTGAGAATATACACTCCATATACACACTCTTAAGTAAAAGTAATGGAGTAGGCCAGTAGGGGTTGGAGGCTTAGAAAAAGAGAGTACTGAAGCTTTATTAGGCAACAGTAACCTGACTAAGGTTTATATATATTAACTAGAAGATGAACCCGCACTACTCGTGAGGTTTCCCAATAGTTCTTAAACAAAAATCCCAAAATACAATAGTTTTTTTCTTGAAAAAAATACAACAGATTTTTAAAAAGGTAATGTCTATTTATTGTTTAAACCAGTGTTATCAAAGCCGAACCAAGCCGCTCGGCCCGATCGGTAGAACCGCCACCCGGTCACAAAATCGGCTCGGAATAGTCTAAAAGCCGCTCCGGTTTTATGTAGCGGTTGGCGAGCAGCCAAGGCGGTTAACCGCTCGAGCCGATCGAGCCACTCGTCTGATTTTTTCCATTCAGCCGTTAAATTTAATTAAACAATTGCGGAAAATTGAAATAAATAAAAAACATCGGGCTCTTAAACTAAATTCTTATTTCCATTTCACAATTTCGAAGGAAAGAGATGAGTTCTGATTAAGAAATGTCCACTATTTATATTGATAACGTTTATTAAGTACCGGTTCTCTAACAATTTTTAAACGGTCTATTGCCGGTTGGACCACTAAAGTGCGAGCCGTACGCATTATCGGGTCATGCTCCGGTTCGGTTCTGACAACATTGGTTCAAACATTTTCAACTAAATATATAGAAATTTTATTTATTATCCAAACGTATTGCAACTGATCAAAATCTCGACATTCGTTCTGTTACTGTTACTTATTTCGTAACGAAGCTCCACATAAGCATCCACCTCTGCAGTCAGCATCCATTAAATTTTAATTTATTTATCACTTAAAAAATAAATAAAAATAAAAAAATCATTCTCATCTCTTCACCATTCACACAGTCGCCCTTGCAACTCCAATCCTCTCGTCTTGCTTGTCGCCAGACCAGAGATTCACGCCGCCCCTTCCCCACCTCCAGAACCAGCAAACACTGGCGCCCTCTTCCTCGTCTCCAGACCTAGAAACTCCCACCGTCCTTCCCAGCATGTAGAACCCAGCAAACACTGTCGTCTCTGCTTCGACCTATTCCGCCGAATCCAAATGTGAAGGAGAACAATGAAGGGGCAGAAGTTAATCTGCTAACTGCTATATTAGTTAGCAGATACTCACAGGGCAGGATTAGGTGCCACGTTGGCCCATGTTTGATCCAATGGAGGAGAGACGGGCTCGTTGGTGGCTCACTTAAGTGAGCTGGAGATGGGCTTCGGGGTAGAAGCCGGCCCAGCGTGTGGCGCAGAAGGCGAGCCGAGGAAGTGGCTTTGTGGGCCCGCTTCAGTTTGAGTGGGATTTTGGAGAGGAGTGGAGAGAGAGAACAAAAATTGTGGGCCCGCAGTCCATGTGATATTTATGTATGTTTGTTTGTGTGGATATTTATTTGTTTTCAGTCGATATTATTTTGTGTTGTGTTGATATTACTTTGCATCATTGTTGAAATGAACTAGTATTCTTCCTTCACAAACCAATATCCATCATTAAACTAATATTTACCAAACCCCAAAATAACCCAATAACCCGAAACTGATTACACCAATTTAGAGTTTAAGTGTTAGGGTTTATGGTTCGGGTTTTCAATTTGAGAAGGATTGGAATATTGTTTCTTACAGCAAATTAAACACACTAGGAAATTGAACACACTAGGAAGTCCTAACACATAAGGCTTACAACCTTAGTTACGGCTGCCCGCCGAAGGCCCATTAAATAATAATAGTTTTATGGTTTAGGATTTGTGTTACGGTTTAGGGTTTAGGGTTTAGGGTCTAGCTTAAATTTGAATTGATATTAGTTCATGTTTTCGAAAATTATATTGGACTTTGGATATTCTAATAGGGCTTTTTTGGTAAAGTGATTAGGGTGTTAGTGTTAGGGTTTATATTTTTTTAAGGTTAAAGGTTTAGTTATTAGTCTTGTGGTCGTTTCCAATGAATGGATATTAGTTTACGTGGTTCGGATATTAGCTTTGGGTTGAATTGATATTAGTTCGTGCTTTCGGATATTTGTCTGGGACGTTTGGATATTCTAATGGGCACTTTTGGTAACTATTCGGATTAGCCTACAACTATTATATATTAGTCGGCATGTGGTGGATATTATTATGTCATAGTGATAATAACCATTTTGGGATCACATGATATTCTTCTGAGACATAAAGATATTAGACTAAGTGGTTTGGATATTTGTTTGGGTAGTATGGATATTAGTTTTAGTTTTAGGGTTTAGGGTTCATTAGTTCATGTTTTCGGATATTTTTTTGGGACGTTTGGATATTCTAATGGGGCACTTTTGGTAACTATTCCAATGTGATCCTTTGTTTATTTAAGCATCTAGCACTTTTGGTAACAATTCGAATTAGTGCCAACAATAAGATATTAGTCAGTGTGCGGTGGATATTAGTCAATATATGGTGGATATTATTTATTGTGTGGTGGATGTTAATCAGTGTGTTGTGGATATTAGTCTATTCTATATACAATATTATTTACGTTACACTAGATATTGGTCTGAGATGTTTGGATATTGTTATGTAGGGTTTGTGTTAAGGTTTAGGGTTTAGGGTTTAATGGTTTAGTTTTGAAGGTTTAGTTTTGGTTTGAATTTATATTAGTTCATGTTTTTGTATATTTGACTGGGACGTTTGGATATTCTAATGAGGCACTTTTGGTAACTGGCCATTAAATAATAACAGTTTTTATGGTTTAAGGTTTGTGTTGGGAAGAGGGTTAAGGGTTTAGGGTCTAGCTTTGGTTTGAAGTGATATTAGTTCATGTTTTCGGAAATTTTCTTGGACGTTTGTACATTCTAATGGGGCACTTTTGGTAACTATTAAGATGTTGTCCAACGTTTATTTAAGCATCTAGCACTTTTGATAACTATTTGGATTAGTGTACAACTATAAGATATTAGTCAGCGTGTGGTGGATATTAATCAGTACATGATGGATATTATTTAGTTTGTGGTGGATGTTAGTCAGTGTGTTATGGATATTATTTGTTACATTTACAATATTATTTAGGTGTCAAGAGATATTTGTGTGAGACGTTTGGATATTGTTCTATAGGGTTGGTGTTAAGGTTTAGGGTTTAGGGTTTAATGGTGTAGTTTTGAGGGTTTAGTTTTTGTTTGAATTTATATTAGTTCATGTTTTTGTATATTTGACTGGACGTTTGGATATTCTAATGATGCACTTTTGGTAACTACCCATTAAATAATAATAGTTTTTATGGTTTAGGGTTTGTGTGTGGTGATAAGATATTATTATGTGATGGAGGATATTAGTTTGCAACGTGTGGATGTTTTTCTGTGTGGTCGGATATTAGTCTTTGTGTGGCGGATATTAGTTTGTTAGTGAGAATATTAATTTTGGGATGACAAGATATTAGTCTGAGACTGTGGGATATTAGACTGGGTAGTATGGATATTTGTTATGGAAAATGGATATTAGTGCGACAACCAGATATTAGTCTGGGGTGGTTTGAATAATTTTTTTTAGTATGTATTTTCCACGAGCTAATATCAATTTCTAACCAACTAGTATTCATGTCTAGTAAATAATTTTCTAGAATACCAAAAACTCAAATCCTTAATAAAAAGAGACGTTGAATTTATACCACCTGAAATTGATTAAACCAATTTAGTGTTTAGAGCTTAGGGTTAGTGTTTCAGGTTTAG